AGAAGGTCCGCCCAAGGCCGACCTTATGGCTTTTAGTCCTAGTGTTCCTCCTAGTTCAGGTTCTGGAGATGGAGTCCAACAGGAGATTTTCGAGACTGTAAGTACAACAATCCTGCGATGTATGTGCTGCCTATTAATGTTACTCACATAGTAGTTCACCGCATTATTGCTGTAATTTCATTGCTTCATTTGCTTTATTTTTGCTTTTCTCCTGAGATGGCCTATTTAAAATACACTGGAAATCTAACCATCTTCATTACTTTTTATTACAGTTCACATGAAAAATTCTTTAGGGAATATTCTTCAGTTGATAAATATAATAATAATAGTTATAGTGAAATAGACTGAATGGATGTTTCCTGTAAATGGGGAAAGTTAAGTCTTCCAGGAAGGCTCATGATGAGAAGTGTAGGGCATAGGCAATGCTCAAATCTTCTACTTTTCAATTTTGCAGCAAGTTCATTCTTCCTGTCCATTTTCTTACTGTAGTTGTTTTCCTCCACCAATTATGTTTATGTACTCAAAATTTTCACAATAGCATTTAATTTCATAATTTATTTGTGTTTAAAACATGTTTAATTCTTATTTGGCTAAAATTTGTAAGTTCATCTACCACTAATGGGTTTTGGCAGGGTTGAGGCAGCTTCATTTCATAAGCAGTTTTGTTTCTTTGTAATCATTGGCAATCTTTTTTGAGATGGTGGTTGCAGTGGGTGGAGTGGCGGAGTTTTAGCCTAGCATTTGGAGATAATTTTACTGTTTTATTTTTGTCTTTAATCCCCTTGTTAGTTCAAGCTCATTTTTTTCATAGTCTTCAACTAATTCAGATAGACAACAATTTTGTTCTTTTTTTTTTTTTTTGACACAGAGTCTTTGTTGCTGGGGCTAGAGTACAATGGCATCATCAAAGCTTACTGCAACCTCAAACTCCTGGGCTCAAGTGATCCTCCTGGCTCAGCCTCCCAAGTAGCTAGGACTACAGACATGTACCACCACACCCAGCTATTTTTTTAATTTTTATTTTTTTGTAGAGATGGAGTCTAGCTATGTTGCTCAGGCTGGTCTTAATCCTCCTGCCTCAGCCTACCAAAATGGTAGGATTACAGGTATAAGCCACGATGCCTGGCCAATGTTCTTAATTTCCTAACATAATGTCAATTCTGCTTAATTGCCTGTTGAATTCATTGGTCCTCTCCTTCAGTTTAGTTTATTGAGCTCTTCTACTTTTTTGGCAGATTTATTTGAGCATTGATTATACTCATTTTTCTTCCATGCTTGGTACTTGTCATGAGGCTATATGAAAATATTTTAGGGTAGAAAAATTCACACTTCTTTGTGCTTTGAGTTATAGAGTCTTCCCATATATGGTGAAGAGTGATACCATTGCCTGTGTTCAACAGGCTGCATGGTCTTCAAAATGACATTGCTTTAAATAACTTAAGCATGAGAACTACAGAATATCAATAAAGGCACTTCCACTTGATAATTGTGCTGTCGATTACACCTCGTAATTTAACACTGTATACTCTAGATACATTTGAGGCAAATTTTTTTTTGTCTCAACACCACATTTGTATAAATTGTTTTCTTTTAAGGGATCCCAGAGAACATACATTTAGAGCTATAAGAATGTGTATCAAATAATGTGGAAGATTACTTTGTGTTTTGGCTCTAATTACAAATGAGATACCCTTTGATTCTACTTCATGGAGAAATAAATTATATATAGTGTATTTACATGTGGGAGGAGAATCATCTTGTAGATAGGGTAAAGTTAATGGAAGTGCTGAGAAGGCATTATTGACTATTTCTACCTAGGAAGATGGCTTCTGGGAGGACGATTTCCATGAAGATGGACATTAGAGAAATCTTCAGAAAAGGCAAAACCATGCCTCGTGTCCTACTTTATGGTGCTTGAATTCTCTTCATCCATAGCTACAGAACAAGAGCAAACATTGATCACTAGCTATAATAAACCACCATTGTTTGAGCTATTTATATTTGCTAGACATGGTGTAAAGAGCTTAAATACATCATTTCATTTGGTCCTTATAACAATTTGTAAAGTACATATGACTGTCCAAATTTTATAGATGAAGTAAATGAAACTGAGATATTTATCTATCTTGCCCAGTGCCAGTCAGCTAGTTCGTGATGGAGATGATATTCAAATGCATATCTTTCAGACTTCAGATTTATTCTTTTATTCGCTGTAATGTAGAGCTTTCTTTAGTAAATCCTTTCACTCACCAAGCATAGTCTTGGCTAGGAAAATCAAGCACAAGCTGTTTACAAGAGAGTCTTCCTCTCTATTTTGCTTGGAAGAAACTTGATGATTTTCTTCATCATTAATTTTGTACAATGCCATAATTGAGATGGGCATTAAGATTTTTATGTTAATGAATTTTTTTCTTAGAAGAGTTGATGAGCAGCATTATCATTTGTTTCAATCAATGCCACATTGAGATAGATATTTTCATTATTCAATTGGTAAATAATTAAGAGTTGTTTTGTAAGAACTATAGGTCTGTTGTTTGGAAGTGATATAAATAAGAAGAAGCATTTAACATACAAGAAAAATCAGAAGACTGTGGTTTCCAATATCCTTGCAAGACACCCAACCCAAATGATACATACCAAAATGACTTTTTCTTTCTTTGCTGTGAACAATGATAGTGTTTTGGATGTGTGTAAGTGTTAATATGATTTCAGAGATCCTGAACATGCCAAAGTATTCAAGAAGTGCTTACGATATTGCATACTTCAATAATAGCTTTAAAGACATAGATTTCCCATAAAAATCTTTAGATATGTGTAGGCCTTTCAGGATTCAGTCTTCTTCAGTCTCATTGTTGGCTGAGAGGCTTGTGCCAATTGGACAAATGATTTGTGATCAAATAACTGTTTTTTCTTGACTAAGCCAAAATAGAGCAGA